CCATCCACAACCTTTGGTAGTCACATCCATCCACAACCTTTGGTAGTCACATCCATCCACAACCTTTGGTTTCCTGTCATCTTGTAGTCCATACCATGTGGCGGTAGGTATCCACAACCTTTTTTCTTCTTGTAATCCATGCCCTGTCGTGTTGGTAATCATGTCTATTCGCAACCTTCCTTCCTTCTGTCATCTTGTAATCCATGCTCTGTGGCTTTGGTAGTCCTGTATATCCAGAAACTTCTGCTGTTTTCTTTTAGGAGCACACTCATTAGTATATCGTCACACACCCGGGCGGGATTCTGACTTAGAGGCGTTCAGCCATAATCCCTCAGATGGTAGCCTCTCACCATTGGCCAAGCATGTGAACCAAACATTGATTATCTGACGACTTGAGTGTAACATACAATGTAGTGGCAACCACCTTCAACAGAAACATGCTCATAAAAAATACCTATTAATCCTGTGTCCTGTTTTTTTGGCATGGTTCTTTCCTTTCACAATAGCTTTGGGCAGTTGTTGCTATCCCAGTATAACTGATTTGATACTTTTTGAACTGCTTAGTGTGTAGACAGGCAAATATTTTTTTTTTAAAGAAGCATTTTTAAGCGAGGTCATTTTAGAAAAACAAATTACGGGTCACAGAAACAAATCACTGGGATTTCATTCATAAGAGAGCCAGTTTTTTTTTTTTTTTTGCATTTTAGAATTCAAACAAAGAGGAACTTTCCTGTCAAGACTACACATTTTGGTATGCCCAAAAAAGCACATATGAACTATATGACTGACATCGTGGTGTATCTTCTTGATTTCCCCTTAGTATATAGGAAGTATCACAGACATCAAGAGACAGTCATCATTTTTCAGCCATGTTATGAGAAAGGGAAAATAGAACATGTTGTGACCACTGGAATGATCTGTGTAAGGAGGGATAGAGGAATTCAACGAGAGAAGATGCTTGACAGTCTTGTTGCATGTCATGGAGGGGTGCTGGCACACGAACTGATACATGCTGCAGGAGATCGCAGATTATGGAGAGGCATGATCGCCCACGCCAGTCGGCAAGGCACCTGATGATGATGATATAGAAAGTATTGGCCATAGAAGAGAGAAAGCATAAGAACAATGTGGTCGAGGCTCTCTTGGATCATGTGGACAGTCAAACAGAACAGAGTGGCTTTAACTTTCTCTCACAACTGTGATCACTGTGCCATATGAGAGGATTGTGATCACCGTGCCATATGAGAGGATTGTGATCACTGTGCCTTGTGAGAGGATTGTGAATACCACACCATATGAGAGGAGTGTGATCACCGCGCCATGTGAGAGGATTGTGATCACCACGCCATATAAGAGGATTATTAAAAGTAGAGAAACTGGATAGATGTCCAAAACAAATTTCTAGTAGTAACTAGTTTCTGAACCTCACAAAAACAACAACAATAAATTTCTCCCCGATTTAATAAACAACATTAAACAAAAAAATGTATAACTCAAGATGGTGCAACATACAATGTGGTGGAGACAAGCACACAACAGACATACCTGCTTTAAACAAATTCTGACTAAACAACCCACAAGTTAACTTTGAAGTAGAATCTAAAATTTTTTTTCTTAAAACATGAAAAGTTAAAATCAAATGGGACCATGCACAAGGGAACAATATGTCCCCCTCAAAGCTGCACCGACCACAAATTCGACTGATGAAATGCACTTAATAGCCACCACCCCGCACCCCTTTTGGTCCTAAATCCTCAGTGGTACATGGGCCCCTCAACAGATTCGACCCAAACCACCCTATCTTTTCTCATCCACTTGTCCCGTAGTTATGTCTCAAATGTGGCCAGTATTACGCTGGCCTACAAAAACATGGCCAATCATAAACCAGGGCAATCTGAAACTCCTGGCAACATTTTAAAATACTAATAACTGAAAGCCACAAAGGTAGCCAGGGAGATCAGTACGCCATCTTTTATGGTGCTGCCAGTATGGCATCTAGCTACTGTGGCCACCAAAGAACACACAAAGAGCCAAAATCTTACACTGAATATTAAATAAAATGCACTGTTTAAAAAAAGTGACAAGAAATGTTTACAAGTTTTCTTAACCAAAAAAAAACACCTAATTTGCAACAGTTAGTGGAATATTACCAAAGATAAACATCATTTACTTTCAACAAGTATGTTTACAGTCGTCGGGTGGTACACAAGGATGTCAGCTGGCTCAGCGACCAAATTACCTCTTCATAGTCAATTTGAATGTCTTCACATATAGAAAACACCCCCCCACCCCCTCCTTTTTTTCCAAATCTGCTAGCCAGCTGCTTACAGCTTACTAAGAGAAAATAATCTCTTTGCTGCAGTCAATCACCACACCACACAATCACCCCACACGCTGCAGTCAATCAACCCCACATGCTGCAGTCAATCAACCCCAAAGCTGTGGTTTTAATTCGTGTGGTCGCTTAAGGTCCTTCCTGGAAATTCCCCCGTATGTGGAAAT